AACGGTTTCAGAGGGTCTTGCCACCGAGTGATCTTCCAAACTTTGGTGTCTCTCCGCCTGCACCAACCCGTATCACGTCTACCGCAGATGCTGTATTGCAAAGCTGACGTCTCCACGCAAACACCGCTCGCCGGGTGTCGATACCATTCGTCCAGATTCACTGGGATCAGCAGTAAGCTAACTGCCAGGACCTTTAGCTCATTTTTCTTAGCGCTGCTTGGACTAGAAGCAAATACCCGCTATGTGGAAGCTTGGAATGATAACCCCGAGTCACAAAGGTGGAAGCAGAACTGAGCCCTCCAACTACCGCTCAGTATCCATTCTTCCTATACTCTCCAAGCTTATGGAATCCATAGTTGTCGGTGCACTGGAAAACTGTAACATCATCACGCCTGAGCAGCATGGTTTCCGTCGACCGCGTTCATGCACAACGAATTTACTAATAGGACGCAGTAGTTGGACTGAGTCAGCTGACACTGGAGAAGGTGTTGGTGTGATTTACCTGGATTTTTCGAAGATTTTCCATCATCTAGACCATCGGCTACTACTCTCCAAGCTCCAGCATTATGAGATCGACGACCCTCTTTAAAGTTGGATTGCCAACTTCTTACTTCAATGGCAATTAGTGGTCAGAGTTCGGAACTCTTTATCGGACCCCATACAAGTGGAGTGTGATGTGCCGCAAGATTCAGTTCTAAGTCCACGTTTGTTTTTCTTGCTTCTTAATAACCGTGCACAGGGAAGCTCTTCAAACTTCTTAATGTTTGCTGACGATATCAAGATTTGGCGCAGGATCCAGGTAAACGCCGATCAGCATCTGCTTCATAGTGACCTAGGTACGGTGTATCAGTGGTCAACTTACTGCACTCAAACCCCAGGAAATGCAAGGTACTTTCCATCAGACCAGCTACTCATACCGGCTCAGAACAAACGTACTGCAACATTCAACTGTGGAACGTGACTTGGGTGACCTGGTTCAAGATGACTTGGGTTGCTCCATGCAGTCCGAAAAGGCGTCAAAGACGGAAAACCTACACATCGGGCTGTTGCGGTGGGCGTTTGGGCCAATAAACAGCTCCATATTTCGACAAATTCTCAGTGCGTATGTTCGTTCCCAAGTTGAATACGCAATTCAAGCCTGGCATCCATGGCTGAAACACGATCTTAATGCACTGGAGCAGCCATAACGTCTGGCATATAAGAAGGCAATTGGAATGCGCAATCTTTCATGCCAGGAGAGGGTGCAACGATTAGGGTTATACAGCGGAAGCCATCGCAGAATACGAGGTGACCTGATTATGGCATATTTGATTCTGCGAGACCCACATCATGAATGCGGCTCCTTACTGCGTTTCAGCACCAATACGGCCCTGAGGGGCCACTCATTGAAACTCACAGAAGTGTACAGACGCCTGGGGTGCCGCAGAAATTTTTTCCATTCGTGTCTGTCACCCGTGGAATGCTCTCCCAAAATCGGTCGTCTCTGCACCGACACTAACATATTAAAAAGATGGTTGGATGAGGTCCTCATCTACTCAGACTTTGTCAGTTAGCGCTGCGTCTCCATCCTACAGCTTTAGTTTACCATGGATTTAGTTGATGTCAACTGTGAGTGCTGTACATCTAAGTGGATTGCAGGACTACAACCGACCAAACGTTAAGTCCTTAGTTCACATTTAACATAGTAACTGTTTTACTGCTATTATTATTATTATTATTATTATCATTTCTACATCCTCACCAACTATCCAACGGAAATTGTAAAGCAACACTTCTTAACCCGTATATATTCATTGTTCCTTGTCCAATCCTTAACTAAAAGTGAGAAACTCTTCTGATATCGTACCACAATAGAAAAAGCTAATGTATATGAAATTGCAAGATACTACTCCTTAAAGATTTCAAACAAAAGCTAGCAAACAAATGATATACCATGGTGCTTGGAGAATGTGGCTAGAGTGAAAGCCAGAGAGGAGGGTTACGAACAAAGAAACCCGCAGGCCAAAAGCCACTGTGATCGGCTCTTCGCCATGTCAATCTGTGCGTCCAATCAAACGTACTCATCACTTTTGGGACCCCACCCTGCAGTCGGGAGAAACAATCGACACCAAGTTCAAAGTCAGTGTCTTCATTCCTTTTGATCAAGTCATCGGTTGGCCTCCCCTCCTCTTCTTCCAACCACACGACGGTCGCGCCAACAGCACAAGTCGCGGGAGTCGGTGGGCTGGCATGCGCAACACTTAGCCCAGCCACCGGAGCATGGAACAGGATATAACGTTGCTGAGCGATTCACTCGCTGTTCCTGTACCAAGTACGAGACATCGAACAACCTCATCGCCCACGTGATATTCCCACCAGCCTGAGAAGGTAGCGATTATCCAACGTAAGGCGCCTCTTTATGTCTGTCAATCTAATGGGCCGTTCCTCACAATTGTACTGAAGTTTTGAAAGCAAGATTGCGTTGTAAACTTTACACTTCCTGGAGAGAATGATATTTTGCAAACAACACAGGTGGGGGAAGATTGTCAAAAGCTCCTAACGCTTTTGCCACGTGAGTTCGTTTTCTCATCGTAAATCCACAGGCGTTTATACAGCTGCCAGAGTGCATAAGTTTCTGAAGGACTACTAGCTGATCGCCCCAATGGTAAGCACAGGGATGGGCAACTGTCAATCTTAGAGAAGGTCTGCATTTTTCGGGTGCAAAGTATAACCAGAAACGATAGATAGTCAATGCTGATTGGTCCCGAGCTGCTGGTCACGTGTGGCAGCTGTCACCCACTAGGGCGTATTCCAAATCAAGTTGATCGCCTGGGAGCAGCTCCACACCTTGTAGGTCGTGTCCAGTGAAGGCAGTTTATATGACTATGTCGATGGCAAAGTTCAAGTGGAAATGTGGCAGCCAGCGACCTTGTGTCACACTGTTCGAGGTACTGAAAGGTGACGACGGTTTGCCAGAATTATGCACGTACAAGACTTTTGAAATTTACCTATTTATAAGACACGCCTTTCCTGAGCACAATGTCCCAAGAAGCACATCGAACAACCAAATGGAAAACAGTTTTGCTGTCGAGGAATACGACTGCCGTGGGCCATGCTGCTCCAACCCCTGAATTACTATGAACATGCGGCCAATACAGCCCCGATTTCGAAAAGGCCCCATTCGCTCCTCGTGAATCTGACTTTCACAGGTGCCAGCTAGTCTATGGAGAACGACGGAAATTAGTAACTCAAAGTCAACTGAGATAAGACAGATCTAACTTTTGGCCTTAATCTTCAATACAATAACACCTTGGCGCGCTTCCAGATTAACTTTTGGATTGGCGCTAGGTTCCTACGCCTTGGGAAAATTCTGCGACCGAGTAGTCGGTCACAGTTTTCATTTATCACACATACCGCCATCTTTTCAAACTCAGCCCGAACACCAACCTCAGAGGCAGCAGCCTGCAACTGAGTCGGCAATATAGTCGTCTAGGTTGGAGACGAACGTATTTCTCTCTCCGCTTTTGCAAGCTCTAGAACGGCCTTCGAAACCTTCGTTTATGCCGCCACTTGAGCTGTCTTCAAAAATCGATTGGATATCCAATTGAACTCTCTACACTTTGTTACCTGAAGGGAAACCTTGGACACATTCACGCTAAGTAACCGCTTTAGTATTGGGACCCACAATGACGCACGTAAATCTGTGCAGTGGGGTGAGCAATCTGCATGTTATTTGCAAAGAGTATTAACCATAATTTGTTATTTCGGTTTGCCTGGTACTATTTAACCCCCACAACCCTCTTGATATACGCCAGTACTCTATCGCTTCACCGATGTGTATTTCGTTTGATCCACTTATGTGATATCTGCATTTCAATTTCTTCCGTCTCCAGCCTACGGGACATGTTAAGCCTCAGCTTTTTACCCGTTATAAACCATTGCTCCACTGTTAAATTGGTGAGGTTTAAACATACACTGCTCATTTCCTGGTTGTCTTTCGGAAGAGGATCAGTTGTCATTTTTCTATACTGTCCCATGTTGCGCCAACGCGTGCAAGGGCGATGTGACATACTGTCACTGTCCTTGCTCGCGTGTAGCGAATTTGTCGTCATTGGTTTCTTCACACTTTATTACTTGCCAAATGAGCAGTGCGTTTCGCTAATTTCGCTCGGCTGTGCAACTTCTTCGAATTGCACATGTTGAATTCGCGAGTATTCACAAATGCTGTAACTAGCGTATGAGTGTCTGACATTACTGTACTCACACTGCATTGTCCGATGGGATAGATTTGTCCTTAGTTTATCGGAGAGTAAAGACTCATAATGACTATCGTTTCTTCCTAAGCCATTAGAGCGGCTATTAAGTAATCGGTTTTCCATCTATGTATGTTCCACCCTTAAACTCGGAGTGTGGAGTGTGGCGATTTATGTACTGTTTGGTTTCGACGACGCATATAGTATTCGATGATTGTGTTTCTATTTTTAATACCATCTGTCTTCTCCGGATGGTTAACTGCAAACATCGATTTTTGCGATGGTCAACGGGCAGTTTCGGATAGGAAACAGCACGCATTCTTGTGCAAGTGACTATTCCCTCTCCCTCTCGGTGTATGGTTCGTGCATAGTACACAGCAGTGCACAGGGAATCTACAGCTACTCGCATATAATTGGCAGTGTGATCGACCACTGAAGTTATCCTTACATGCACACACGTACACACACACACACACACACACACACACACACACACACACTTTCAGTTTCCTACCTTTGCGATAGGATTATCGATGGAGCTGGTCTGGGTGATACGCTTAGGTGCAAGCACGTGTGGGCTTTGGGACGGTCGAAGGTGCAAACGGTCTCGTGATTGGCCAGTTTTGGCGGCCGCATTGGTGCCTTAAAAGTGCAAGTAGGTGATGCTGATCTTCTGCGTCATTTGCCTCCACAGTCCCGCTACGGATCATCCCATACTCCGGGACTTTGCTCCAGCCCCGTGTCCTAATTGCTGCTGCTGTTCACACGATGGCGAACCGAATGAGCGATATGGGAATGGACGTGCAGATCAACAGAAGGGTGAGTTATTCAGCAGTAATGAATTGTGCCACCGGGCATCGCATGCTGCCTCGATCGGCCGTCCACTGTTGTGAGCTGATGAAATCTGAGGTCGATGGACTTGGAGTAGGGTGTAGGGCACGCAAGAATACCACCTAGATGTTTGCTTGTCTGCTCAATACCCTAATGTGATGAGCTTTACCAATTACCGGAGAGTTGTGTCCGCTGTATCTCAAGTAGGATGGCAGTCTTATATTGACAGGGGGTTGAGTATAAGAAAACAATGTGAATTGTGGTCCATTTCAGTGTCAGACAGTGCGTTCATTGCTCATTCTCGATTCTGCCACATCGCTTGCTAAGTGTTATGAGTTCTACAATGTGTATCTGCACCTCATCGAGTAGCCTAGTTTCAATTTTATCGGCATAAAAGTTTCCCGTTAAGCAGCTTCAAACTACCTGGGGTTAATATCAACGGGAAATCCGAAGTTTACCCACAATAGCCTATCGTTAGTTTCGTACTTTCAGCACAAGTCGATTTATGAACTACCGGTTTATTGGGACTCTTCCAAAGCGCATCCACCCGTCTGGTTGTCTGCTCCCTTTGTGCGTGCTAAGGGACAGATTGCAAACACGAGAGAGGTATTCACCACCCCGCTACCGGTGGGCCTATATAATGCGTCCCAAAGATGCGGCGTTCTATTATATTTATACTGTTTAACCACTATGGTTTCAGGTGGAACAGCTTCTCTATAATTTGGTTGTGGTATGCTAATAGGGGAGCTGTTAGTACCATAGCCTTGATGTGCGCTCTTAAAGCAACTTCCTGATAAGTATTGAAATTCAAATTGCTGGATTAAGGAACTCGTAACAGAGCTGATCAAGTTCTTCCATAGTTCCTTTTTATTTGTAAAGTGCCATATGGATAAACAGACCACTTCTAAAATTCACTAGGTTGGGAATGGTAGATCGAACTCAAAAAATCTAGCTTATTCTTCCACCATCACTACTCTGCAGCTAACAGCTACGTTAATGGCTGGTGTCTAGGACTCATATGTTGTTGTGACCACGAGCTGTTAGTTCTGGTGTGACATAGTGATAGCATAGCATGTAGCTTCGATGCACGATGATTAACAACTCATTGTTCTCTCGGATAATAACTTGTTTCACCCTCATCTGAAAATTGCTGTACATTCTTCTCACTAGTATACTCAGAGAGCAGGCTTGGAGTCATCATAGATTTTTCCTCATCAGGCCGCAGAGAGCTACTATAGGTTGGATTTTCATAGTCGAAAATGATTGCGTATAGACTCAGAATCCTGAAAAGTCAGCAAACTACCAATTTCATTACGTGCTCGTCAAATGTATGGAACTCAACTTCGCCACAGGCGTTCCACGATGGTTTCGTTACTTCATGGCTTTGCAGAATTTGGGGACCATCATGCATATTGAAAGTAAAGCTAATTCAAGGTACAAAAAAGAGAAATTTTTGCATCACCCACTTGCTATCTGTTGGTGGGACATGTACCATCAAGGTCGTGAGTGCAGTGTGAGCACGCGTTCCCATGAACTCCCGTCAGCTATGGCCGCTTCCCTCTAGATACTGAATAGACAACAGTCTTGACGATAAGTCATCATTGTTTTTGGTCATCGTATTTTATCGTAACGTTAGCACTGTCAACTGTTTCTGTGTCCATACATTTTATCTGTTTGTGACAAACATACCGATACAAGTTCAGATTGTTAGCCGCAAGTCTAAACCTTAAATAGCCACCAGCGTACATCCCACGCGTGTGGGGTACCGATCGTAAAGACTGTCGTTCGTGATAACTAGATTGACATAACATAAGTTGATGTTTATTTTGTTTTGAGTACATTGCGTTTGGAATACTTGGAAAACAATGTACCACGCTGGTCAAATACCATGCTACCTGATGAACCCATTTTGATTTCGGTAACAGCAGTAATTCTGAATCTGGGGATAATTATTCACAAATGGGTAAAATGTAATTTTACGGGGGGTACATAAAGGTACGAGGATTACGTCATCAGTCTGATACCGATCAAACTTGAAAGCATAATCAGCTATCATTACACAGAACTAACTACCTTATCACTATTGATTAGGCACCATTGAGAAATTACTAGTGCGTGGTCAGTAAATTAAACACTTTTCGACAACTAGATTAAAATGACCGTTAACATTCGTTGATCCTTACAGTTTTAATTATCACTCCAACCATCCTACGGGACTTGGCAAGCACAGGCCTTATTACCCGTGATAAATCAGTGTTCGTTGTCCATCCGATGGGCTAATGGATTTAATCAGTAGTGGACAGCTAAGCTCTTGAGACCCCCTTGTGGAGCCGTATCAAGCGACGGATAATCTGTTAATGTGCAAGCCTTTATTAAGGTGTCCTGCACAGAGTTCAGCGGGATTCCGACTGGGACAGTACTGACGATCGGATTTTTGCGATCGCATTATCCGTTGGTGCAATGCAACGGCTAGTCTATTAAGTTACTCGCATGCTATATGTGCTGTGCTGTACTTTTGTAAATGCTGTGCACCGACTCGCAGGGCGCCAGTTAATATATGTACCACCCCGTACAATTGCGTACCGAACAACAAATGCAAACTACAACTAATCCTTGAACCGATTCACCTCTCGTGTAGTGCCCGCTCACACGGGCGACTGTGGCTACCTTTACATACATTCACTTAACATTTATGACAAAGGCGCTTAGGTAAGCCAAGGTAACTGACACTCGCAACGTTTTCAGTCAGTAATAATAGCAGCAATGATAATGGGAAGACGGAACATTTTTCTATAGTTTCCTTTCCGGGGCTTGGGATACCATAATTGTCATGTACAATTAACGTAGCCGACGTCACCCGTGTAAGCGATTTGTACACCAATTGGGAAACCGTTCAGGTGTTAGCGGTTATTTTCATTTACTTGTCTGTACGCAACTGCAAGAGGTGATACATTAATTGACTGGCGACATGCATAATGCGAACGGATTTAGCCTCTACTCAAGGGCGCTAGCCACTCGAGTCGGTAATTAACAACTACATAAGTACCTCGTACTCGTCGAACCGGTTTTGGTAGATAACACAACCGTTTGCTGTCTCTGAATCTAGGTAGTACGTAATCACTAGAGTTCACGAAATGGTTCATGGTACAACGTCGTCAATTTTATCTGCCTTTCTCATCACCCGTTTATCCTGCAAATATATTTGATCCGAAAAGCCAAACCACTTAATAGCTAATGCAATCGGTCAGCCAACGTCGTATCAGTTCTTGCGCACAGTAGTTGCACCTGCATGTCTCATGTTTCCGCGACATCGACAATACTGAGTTCCCTATTTAACGACCTCGGCGGATTGTCCACTGTCCTAACCTGTGCTGCAGCTGACATCGTTTTTACATAAGCGAGGTTCTATGGCATCACATGTTCGACCCAAAAGCAAGTGAAATGACTGCACCGTCTTTACGCTCGGTACTCTTATCTTTAACTTCGGTTGCGTGCAATTCCTCATCCAGCAACAACAAGAACAAAATAAACGTTGTCTGTCAACAATGGTAACACGGATTATGCCATTCTGCTTGCTACGATGTATCAAGCTACCCTGTGATCGTCTTGCGACGCCATACCGGAAGCAAATTGATCAAACGCTGGACTTCACTTTTGCCTAAACATCCTCGTATATCCCTGGATGAGGAACCAACGACTTCGCCATACATAGAAGTGAAAACGCCAGTTCAAATTATATACCATTATTTTAGCGCAGTAGTTCTAAACCTGGGAGTAATTACCCCCAAATAGATAGAATGGACTTTCGCGTGGAGTAACAATAAGTAAGTGGATTGGGTCATCAGTCTGATGCCAAACAAAATTAAAAGGAAAATAATTTGTATCAAGACATGTAACTATCCGCCTAATCTCTATTGATCATTGACAAATAATTAGTGACTGATTATGAAGTAGACAATTGTCGATATAGATTTTCTCCCCTAAAATACGAATACAAGCCTGCAAAGCAGCGCACCTAGCTGGCGCCTCTATCGGCTCGCTTGTCGATCGTTGTTTTGTTGAGTCAAGAAGTCGTTGCCGTGTCAATTAACAAAGTTGCATGAACGCTAAGGAGGGGAACGTAGGTCAGTCGACCAGGTAAAGGAGCGAGCGATTTCATACAAGAAAGCAGGGACAAGAGGCGATTAGTGTTCAGGTCGTATCGACACAGAGTGGTGATGGGAAGCTGTCATTCAACACGGACTTGGAAGGGATGGTTGAAACCAATGCGAAGCCGCTGACATCTGTTCCTGTTTGATCAGGGACCACAGCAGAGCGAGGAACCGAATGAACTTGAAGCACATCTTACGAAGTGTTTTAGCCGATCCGGACCAAATATATCAGAGATTGTTAGAACCGATCAATATCAATCGTATCATTAGCGTATCATTGCTTATCATTGCTTAGTTAAAAATGGCTAAAAAATGAGTGTTTTCTTCGAATAATGGAAACTAATTGAAAATAATATTCACATTCGGTAATTTAAAGCACAATATGCAATAGGTACTTAGCACGGTAAACTAAATTTTGCGGAATTATTTTTCGGTGAACTTCATTTGTGGGTAACAGTTTCAAAATGTTCGGGAAATACTGCGTTACGACAGTGCTTGTTGCGGTGCACTGGCAACACACCATCACCGTGGAGGGTTATGGATCTATATTTTCTGACTACTGGTAGCTTAATAAGTAGGACATTTATCAGGCTGATTCAAGAGATTAGCCGTGTGACTGTTCTCGTAGAGCATCCAAACCATCAGTTTTGTTACTAGTAAGGGAAATTATCACATTCACAACAACCACTTCAACTCTCACCTAGCTGAACAGTAAATACGATGCAGAGAGTGAACGGGAAGCTATTGGCTGGGTGAACAAACTCACTGGTGAGAACGTCCCACTTGGACGAGAGAACGTATGCGCCAACCTGAAGAACGGTCAGACCTTGATCAAGTAAGTATTTGTATGATTTTCGTGATGTTATGTCACTCCAAGTTATGTCCATTCACTGATCTCACCTTTCGTTTCTTGCTTGATCCGTATTGACTCATCTGCTCGAATGATCCCGGAACTAGATGCTTTCGCGCACTGATTATTCACTCGGCTTCGTGTACAGTGTGACGACCGTGGGGCTGTTTTTGTGCCCCTCCCCAAACAGTTGTAGGCAAAACTTTCTTAGAAGGGTTAGAGACGGTCTTTTTCCCCAATCACCATAATGTACTTGACCAGTAAGTCATCGCAGTTGCATCTACACGATCAGTGGTGTAGCCTGGTGGCGTAGTCAGTTTCAGTATACAACACAGTTGTATGAAGACAATGATACTCTATATCACATCTCAAAGGAAAGCGGAGGATTAAATTTCATAGCTATGTTCTGCTGCTCAAAATGCAAATCTGGTTTGATTAACATATGACCACTGACGATGACTTAGGGCATTAGTTCACGACCTGGGGGGGGAGATACAATTGAATTTTGTGGGGGGCAAATATAAGTACGAGAATCTGGTCGTCATTCGGTCTCCAAGCAAAATTACTAGCATGATCATCGTTGTCAAGACATCTAACTAACTACTTACTCATTATTGATTAGGCATCAGCAACTACTCATTTGTGTGTTGTCGGTGAATAACACAATTTTCAGCAATAACTTTTATTCCCTAATATGCGAATGCAAGTCTGCAAAGCAGAGCAGCTAGATGACACCTCTATCGACTCGCACTTGGATCTCTATTATTTTGAGCCAGGCAGTTGTTTGCCGGGTGGAATTACAAGGTTGAGTGAACACTAGGATAGGAGTACAGGTCAGCCGACCAGGTAAAGGAGCGAGCGAATGTTTACTAGGTAGAACGGCAAAAACAGACCATTGGTATTCAAGTCGTATCGATACAGAGCGGTGGTGGGCATCTGTCCTCCAGGACAGACTTGGAAGCGATGCTTGACACAAATGAGGAGCCAAGGATATCTCCCTTTTTGATCAAGATTCACACAGCAAAGCAAAGAACCGAATGAACTTGTAGCATGAGTTACGATATACCTTAACCGAAACCGCACCAAATATACTATCAAATGTTAGTACCACCCAATATCAACCGTCTCATTAAAGCACATCACTTCTTGCTTATTCAAAATGTATTCAAAAGGTGTTTTCTTTATTTGGCTGATAGAAAGTAACTGAAGATAGTAAGCAATAGCAAACAATGTAATGGTTAATGGTTAATTGGCATTTTGATTTAATTTTTTGGCAATATTTTATGGGCAACCCTCTTTATGGCTAACAACCTCCAATGTTTGCGGCAAGTCTAAACTAACCATTTTCCGGTCTTTCCTATCGGCTTGCTTAAATGAAACCTCTGGATTCTGCACCAGCTAAAAACATTTATTGACTAGGCATAACGTTCAGTTCAAAGTGGTAAGTACTTGATGAAATTTACTAGATGAATATTTTCGCATATAGTGGTTATAACATTTTTCCATGATTGCGACAATTTGGCAGTTCGATTACCACAGCAACGAAGGGGTACATGACTACTCGTTCGGTGCCAGTAGTTCTCAAAGTGACATCAAATTATATTCCGGCAGGGCTCGGTTGTGTTCTTGTGAGTGTCCGTACAGGTTGCCATGGCTCTCATCTCCCTTAGGTGCCAACAGTAACCAAATTCTTATATTCTTTCTGAAACTTCACGTTGTGCTTGCTGCGTTGCATGATTAAACTGCGGTAACTGACCGAACTTACCGCTTGTTTACTCACTCTATATACTCAGTACTGGACTCGGATCGCTCTGGTAAATCTGTTCACCACATACAACTGACCGCAGATAGCGCAGTCTGCTCAACTTGATGCAGTCTGTTTAAAGCAAGGCTTAACGTCAACCTTAAACGCAACATTGTTGCTTTAGAGAAACGTTAATGACTCTGCCTGTTAACAAATGCCTGACTTGTATGATTCATTCAAGGTATCTGAAACCCTGTCGCAATTCTGCCTTCTTAATCAATTTGTCACTGTAACATATTCCCCTATTTAATCCTACATAGAGAAGATCGCCAAGTATGAAAACTGAACAGCGGAATTTGTTTCACTTTAGGTTGATCAATACAGTCTATGATGGAACAGCGCAGCTTCCACAAGAGGCCGCCCGAATGAGGAGGCCGTTCAAAGCAAACACCATGACTGCACCTTTCAAGCAAGTGAGTAGCGAAATGTGTACTTTACTTGATCATCTTGGATGTTACGTACGCATCGCATAACACACATCACATGCATATTGCATCTTCTGATGGGCGAAGGAAGGCACATGGGATCAGGTTTTAGCAACCCGGAATCTTTAGTGACGGCTTCGTAAACTAATGCATCCTTATTCATAAAAATCTGCTATTGTCTTCCACCATAGAACAGCTCGTTTATCAGAAAGTAGCGAGTTCGCTCAAGGAGTAGCATAATAGGATAAGGTAATGCTTGGAGACGGTGAGGTTATTTACCTGCTAGCTGGAGTGTAAACCCGTTTCACCATTCTGGTGTTCAGTTGTTTGGTTTGGAACAGTAATTGATAAATCGGGAAATGCGTCATGTTCTTGGTTTTCTCAGTGTGAATAAATAAGTTAGAGGATACACATTTTAAATGTGGATTCGCGTATTCATAATCGATGGGCAGTTTACGGATTTACTGGGGAATGAAAAAGATTCAGCATTCCAGGAATGCGGTGTGGATATTTCGCTCCTCAATGAGAAAAATAGTAGGTGGCATTGCGCTGGTCTAATAGCCCATGGTAAGTTGGTAGGACAAAAAGGTGCTAACTGGCTTCTTTCTTCTATTCCTTTCAACCTTCCTCTAACGCGTCGGACATTGGATTGCTTCGGAGCCTGTATGTACCTGCATTACACATATCTTGGATGTTTTCGGTGAGTCTTCACTTCACCCAGCTTCAAGATCAAAGAAACACTTTTTACATCAAACGGTTCTGATGGCTATCGCACGACAGGGAAAGATTTGTTTCACGTGCAGTTGCTTCGATGAGACATATTGAAAATAAAGACAATATCTAAATACAATGAAACCTGCGGTCCTCTCAACAGTTGCTCGGCTTAAATCACTCTCTAAATCCGTCGAGCTGACTCTACACTTGCAGGAAGGTTTATCTAAGGCCATTTGTGCCTCACATTTCATACTACCAGGCATTTGGCTTTTGCTTCAATTCTTTCTGTTGTATATCGAGTCCGGGAATTTCTGAAATGTAAGTTTCCTTCCTTACTTCTCTTCGCTCTCCCACATTATTCCAAACATTATTCAAGCCACATTATTCCAACCACATTATTTCAAACCGAGAAACAAACCCACTGTATCTATATTGCCAAACTTGAGTGAAAAATCAGATATGCTAATCATCCTTCCCAGTCGGTTATTGGAAGCATGAAGTCCGAAATTGTATATGAGTCGACACAAGGCACCCTCACTAGTGCTATTGATGTCACACTAAGAGCAAAAATGGAGGTCAGTCAGCACATTGAAGGCGGTACAGGAACTTTCTGTACCGATTACACCACGTTACTAACTGTCTCTCTGCTTAGGAGAAAATTGTTGCCAGGTTCAGCTAAGCGGTTTCGAATATGCTAACCAGAACCATGTGAAATTCCTTTTGTTGTTTTCACCAGAAAAGCAAGAGCGTGACGGAGACTGAGACATCGCATTACAGCATGGAGATCAGCAACTAGACAAAGCACTTCCGAAGGAATTAACGGCATCCTACAACTTTCGGGATGAATTAACTGTGTACGTCGGGTTGCTGTTTAAAGGAAATCGCATTTTGATCCTACCGCGACTTTGCAAAGAAATGGTAGAACACGCTAATTGAGCCCATTTAGACGTCAACTACAGTATAAGTAGAGCATGCGAACTGATGTTCTGGCCCGGGATGACAAGTCAAATCCGAGACCATATATCAAGCTGTTCAGCCTGCCGGTCCCATGGCGCTCGCCAAGCCAAGGAACCAATGATGATGCGTAAGATTCCAGATCGACCATGGCAGAAAGTAGCGGTGGACTTGTTCTGTGAGAACGCGAAAGGCTATTTAATCACTGTGGACTATTACAGTGACTATTTTGAGATCGATTCACTCACTGCTACCACCACGGAAGCAGTTATCAACAAGCTTAGAGGTCAGTTCGCCAGACACGGAATACCGGAGGAACTTATCTCCGACAATGACCCGCAATTTACTACTACTGTGTTCCAGACCTTCGCGAACAAGTGGGAATTTTCGCATCTACAAACGAGACGTATCACAGTCAGTCTAACGGAAAAGCAGAAGCAGCGGTCAAACAAGCCAAGAGGCTGTTGTTGAAAACCAGATCAACTCATGAGGCTCCCTATCTGATGTTGTTCTAGATTCGCAATACGCCATTACTGAACATCGGTCTCAGTCCAGTGCAAAGTTTGTACAGCAGAAGGACAAGAAGTCTACTGCGTGCGTCTGCTCAAACCTTGCACCCTGTCTCGCCATCGCATGAGCAACTACAAAGAGGCTTAAAAAGCGGATGGCAGATCAGAGACGGTATTACGATCGCGGGACCCAGGCACTACCGGAGCTATCAATAAATGATGAAGTGTGGATCCAACCAATGCTGGGTGTCAGCGAACGATGGAAGAAAGGTGTGATGACCGCGAAGTTTTGAGAAAGATCTTAGGAAGTCAGTACTGGAGGGAAAGTAATCAGAAGCAAACCAGTGCAGCTGAGGCGATACGGAGAACGAGAAAGTGGACCTGCAGCAATGCACTTGACGTCTTACGGAGAGGTCACAACGACAGAGGTAGCAAAGACGACGCGGAGCGGAAGAGAGTACGGGGTCGTCTGCGACATCGATGTAGATTATCCTAAAATAGGGAAGGATGTGATAGGATTGTGCAAACATGGCGCTAGCTTGCCGCAACCGAGCATTTGATAGGACACCTGAACATATTTCGTCTACGCACTGATTGGCATGCCGTAGCGGGCTTGTTTAACTGCTTCAAACAAAGGATCTCATGAGTGCAGCAGCGTCGTTAGTTATGGGAATGACTTAGTTATTTAGATCGTGGTTCCTACATGCCTGTCAGGCTGTCATTTTTGTTGAGCATTTTTTGTCGAATAAACCGTTTGTCCCTGAAGGACCGAGTTCTACGACACTGAGTACGACCGATAAAGTAATCCCTTGACAAAAGGACGATGGAAGAACATAGTATAGCACCGGGTACCTCTTTTAACAGTCATTCACGGTTTACGCAGCCGAATGAATTGCTGCTTTCTAGGAAATTGTCTCGGGTGAATTTGATTATTTTGCCCGTTACCCTGGTGCACAATACTGGCTAGTTCGTCTTGCGCTGACCACGAGTTGCGGTAGGCGAATTGAAGGGGTCCATTTGACCGCTCTTGTGCCAGCATGTTCTCAAGGCTGACTGTTTTTCTAACAGCTTTATACCTACCGAAAGGCAATCAGTTAGTCGATATTCGCCTGAGCATCTTTATGGTACTTACGTGATACTGACGCCTCCTCACCAGTCGGCAATTTATACTGTGGAATGCACAATGTATATAAAGTAGCCAGAGGTTTGGCCAGAAGGTCAGCACATATCTTGAGGACAACGGGAGACAGACTGTGTAGACCATTTGCTTTCCCTTGGTGAAGATGTTCCATCAAATTGTGTAGTGTCGCTGTCAATAGGGGGAAATGAGTGTGCAGACAATTTAGGTTAGACAAAGGATGATTCAGAAATCGGATCGTTGTACCTGCTGCAAACGTCATGGTTCAGTTTATCCAAATCTACGTCAGAAGTTGATGTACTTCGAGTAGGCAGGCTTATTTGTTGTAACACCCTTTAGAGTCCGCGGCAGCTACTATTGCAAGTATAGCGTGAACGTACACGTTGTTGAGACGGCGCAACTCTTCCCTTCGAAGAGCAGATAGTGACTTTAGTACACTGTCCTTATTTTTTCTGAGAGCTTTCTCCTTTTTCTACGCGGCCGCTTCAGGCGGGGGAAGAAAGCCTGTCTGTATGGACGAACAGACTTCTGTATGGACAGAAAATGTCAAAACAGAAGTTCAAGTAACTTGTCAACCAATAGCAATGGGTGAATACACTGGCGACAAAAATAAATTGAAGTCGATGGATGAAACCACTTCTCGCATTCGGTCGATATTATGTGCAGTACATTGCCTCTACCTGAACTTGCGATCATTGCAACAAGTAGTTACATCATGATTTGTCTTAGAGTAGACCACAGGACACAGCTTAACTGTTGAGTGATCGGAGCTGTCAAGCGGCGCCTGAGTACACAAGGAGAACAGCTCCAGTTTGTTAACAAATACCAGATCTAGTGTCGCATTAGATCCACTGGGGCAATCTATGGTATTTTGTAGTCCAATATTGGTGAGAAAGTGTTGCCAAATTGGTTAAAATCACCAGCAAAAATACTTAGCGTACAATCGATGTGATCTACGACAGCTACAGTAAACTCATCGTAAAACGCCTGTGCTTCAGGTTTCGGACAGTTGGGGAAAATGCAGATCTTATCCAGTAAGATGGAGCAATACGCAATGATAAACCTTGGTCTGCAAATCAAAATAGGCAACTTATACATCGCGAAGAGAGGCGAAACAAAAGTTCCGTAAATCTACACCAGGAAGTGTTGGTGTAAATGATGCCTCCAGCACCACGGCTACGGTACGCGCAATGGCGGTCGACGATGACATTTGAGCCCTTTTACCGATACAAGTGCGTCACTCACTTCCTCGCGAAGTCAGGTCTCTTGTACGAAAATGTTGCTAATCTGGGAATATCCTCGGGAATTGCTGGTACTTGTTAGTCCATCCGTTTTCTCTAAAAGCGAACAGATGTTCGGGGTAAGTAAAATGGGTCTGTTCATGCTCCCCAATTTTTTTCCGAAGAGCAACTTTCCATCTAGCGCGGTGTTTTCTCACATAATTATTGCGGTCTGATAAATTCGTTTCAGTTTATTTTTTATAATGTGGTCTTTGGAAAGGGCACAGCTTGGGAGCGATCTCAAAATATCGCGTGCGCAGACCGACGTGATAACAACTGTGGCCGGATAAAATGGTGAAAAATATGATAGTTTTATGATACCATAAGCATCTGTGTTAATAATTTCAAGGAAGGAACTCGTGGAGCACGGCCAAATGTGAAAGCCCCTCAAGATTGAAGCTCTTGCGTCAACAGCGAAACATAACCACAATAAAATCCTATACAAAACAAATTTGTATTCCAAACCCTTTTGAAAATATGAAATCCTAATCGGTTCCAAGCTTGCTCCTAGATATGAAAGTGATTTCAGTAGAAGTCATTTATATCCGTCAACAACCGTCATACCCACGTGGCATGAAGATTCGGTGGCTAGAGAAGGGAATATTAGTTCGGAGTATCTACTTATGCATAGCTACTGTGAGTAAATATCTCTGAAATACTAAAAGTTACTACAACATGGGCTTAGCAGCAAATTTCTCTACTTCTGAGGTAAGGCCTTCTCAATTATCAGAAACGGTTCATGGTAGCCTGTGATTTTGGTCCATTACCCTGGAACACAGGTTCGCGATGAGGCATGCAGCCGAAATATATAGGAAGAAGATTATGCAACAATTGTGAACGAAATAGTTCTCTCTGAAACCCCTGTAACTCTACTGGCGAAAATATAGGCGTTGCAAAAGTTGCTCCTTCAAAGATAAGCAGTTTACGAGTAAATTAACAACCTTAAAATGAGGACAACATGTTTGACCTGTTGGTACACTCCCATAAACCATGACATTTTTGAGCTCAGGTGTTTCCTCCTTTGCCTCAACTAAGCAACAAGGTTTTCATTATAATGCATCCCAATCTCGGTCGATCAGTTGAGCCAGATAGATGGACGTAAAGGATTTTCTGCGTCCAGTAACCGGGTTCCCGACATGTGCACCTCGCATCGGCCTACTGACTCATTACTTGGTCAAATCTCATTCCAGGTATAAACCCGCTACTTCAAGTCAGGCCAAAAATCTAACCACCACCTCAGAACCATCCGCAAATTGTACTTGCTGTAGCCGTTTTCGGTAAAAGAGATAGCTCCAGTTGCCTTTAGTTTATAGATCGTTTATCACTCATTCTACAGAGCAAGTAGTGATTTGCGGGATTTGGGGCATCCGCCGTGTGTCGTGGATTGCGGCACGCAATCTCAATCGTGGCCTCGGTTGTCTTTGAAGTCAGCTGCTGCCAATGCGATCACTGGGACCGTCACCGAAATGATGGGTTTCCGAGTGGTTCTCTCCCATCCCCGTACTCCATAACCGACGGATTCGTCTTAGTTTGGACTCATCAGGTAGAGATAACGGAGCTGGGAGTACAAATCGGCGCATAATGCTTTGGCGGCTATCGCCATGAGCACTAGGCCATTGAGCTCCACAAGCACTGTATGACGCAGCGTTTAAGAAGTTAATTTTCGGGTTTTGAGCACACTCCGTGGGCCTTGGCTTGCGGCACACATACAGTGCTCGTATCTTACCGTTTGGCCAGCTCCCAGACACACCTCTGACTCACTGCTCTTTATTGCAAGTACCAGTTGCAGGCAACCTGCTCCTGAATCGACAACCGAATACCCGCTCATCCATGTTCTAACTAGTGCAAGTCAAGCCAATAAAGAAAGCGTTTTTGTGCACTCAATAATGGTGCCTATCTAGGTTTGTTGCAGGGGTGGATACCAATTAGATTATGAACGACACGATCTGAGTTTAATTATTGACAAGTTATCCTAAGCCACGCAAATCTCAAAAGCTCACAAACGGAAAGTAGTTAACAAACTTTGCTAGCGAATTATTCAGTTGGTTGTTGCTGTCAACTTGGGCTAACCTTTTCATTATGCACTTAAATCGAACTTGTCTGGATTACCATAAGGAGCTAGTTTGCTTATCAATTTTGACCAAGCGATATACATCAGTTTGCGAAACGTTTCCATTCACTACCTGCATGGTTCTGAGACATAAAGTAGAGCACCTATGATGTCCCATTTGAGCCGCATATTCAGTTGACATTTAACCATCGCACCCCACCCTTGACATCCTGTTCGCGCTCTAGTGTTTCACCAGCAACTTCTCACCTCTGTTAACCATCTGATACCAAACATGGTGTAAAATTCAGTGAATGCCACAACTTAAATTTTTTCCGCCAGATAGGTTTTTAACACTGCCGTATTCATCATCTTTGAATTCATTTTCAGATGGAAAACATTCAGACCTTCTTGAACGCTGCCGCAGCTTATGGAGTCCCTCGGGCCAGTTTGTTTCAAACGGTAGATCTGTACGAAGCACGTAATATGGCACAAGTATTGAACACTCTTCTACAACTAGGAACGGAGGTAATCCCGTGCGAATGACTTTCAAACATTTGTACTTGCAATGGCATAGTCAGATAGGGGACAGCTTTTATAATCTAATATACTGAACAGTTTCTTATTCTGGACGGAGGTCATAAATGCGGTACTCCGGTATGGTCACTTGGTTTCACCTAACATCCACTTGTTTCCTGCACTTTGTCATTTTTGTCGAACTTGACTCTACGTCTTTCTTCTTGCATGATCACTAAGCTAATTGTCCATGCATTTCCAGGTTGACTTTCGAGAAACGCAACTACCCAATCACGGGGGCTATACTGTGCACTCTACAGACAAACCTCTGCTTAAACTTCGGCCGAATCGTGTTTACTTTTGTCATAGATTTGTGCTTCACGAACGGTATGCTACAGTGTGTCTCTTGCCCATGGTTCGCGCAGTTATTCGAGTATACTGTAGATAGGTAGTCCAAAATTCTTTTAAAATAGTCTGATACCAGTGTCTCCGGTAGCAACTACTCATCCTTGATTTTGCCGCACAGGGGTATCATATTTCAACAAAGACAACGAATGTGCTTGTAGGTTTCCTCTGACTTCATTTTTTGATACAGAACACAACGGTTACCACTGAGCGAATGCAGTTTTAAATATCTTGATCAACCTATCAACTACAGAAGGATAGATAACTGAATATGGTATCTTAAGCTTATGACTGACAGCAATCTTGACCAGTCATGAAGAGTATTCGGCTTGCACTCCGGCAGGATGGCACCCACAAACAGCACTCATTACGAATAAAAATCGAGTGCTTCACACGAGTAACCTATCGGGACAATCAGATCGATAAGGCCCGATGTCCAGCATACTCAAGAAGTTCCGGGTAACCGTATTGTTCCGTTAAATTGCTAGGGAAATTTCTACTGTTCGGGCGACTCCTACTAGGTGTCACCCTAGGTGGAGTGTGTCTGTACATAGATGTTTCTAAATGGAATCACCTCCTAGCAGTCCAGTTGGCAATTTTTGTACCAAAACGACTCACAATTGCTCCTGTTTGCCCGATAGTTGTGCGAAACGATGGTGCATCGACCTACTCATTTAATGGTATCATGAATTCTGGAGGCGCAGAGCGCCTAATCGATTGTAGGTCCCAATGCATAGTTCAACGGTTGACTTCGGTGGCAGCCACAAGTACCACCTGAGCAACCAAACAATGTACTGTCGAGCCAACTGAGTGGCCTCTTAAATCAACACGCTTGAGCTATATAGAGTGCTTGTTAACGGGATTCAAGATTCTTGTGACATGTTCAAACTCAGAATGACAAGAATTGGTGGACGTAACAACTAATTCTCTAAATACTTTCTCCTTTTTTCCAGACCAAACAGTAGCATGTGTTCAGCAGTCCCATCGTTGATCAGAGGTAATAGGACATCTTCATGTTTCGACGGTGGTAAATCTTGTGTGCTTTTAGCACGCGAGTGTTTTCGTATGTGAGGCATTATCCGCACATTTTAACCTGGTTCCAAGGGTTACTAGATTGCTGCTTATACGAGAGAAGTAACACAGATATTGTGGCTGCTGTAAGGGTTGATCCAACCTAAGACTTCTGGTGCTGACGTCTCTTTCAAATAACTGCTCACATAAGTTTCTGAGGGTTGCTTTGCTCATGTGAATACCCCTAAATGATCCCAACAGTTCCGTCTTACCCTCGGAGCATGAAATGTTTCCCATACCATTTGCTATGCGATTTTCAATCGAACGTTGTGCAAATCACATGGGACATTAGGCGAACCACATGCTTTCTTTGGTGTGCCTCGTGAAAAATCGAGCATATACATTCATTTATTTACATTAGGCGCCTTGCAAGCCACGTTGGAAGCTATGCAAAACAATTAGGACATATTGCGAACCAAATGGGACACATCCCATTCTAAGCAGAAAATCAGCAATTTGTTAGTAAGAAATGAGGAGCAAAGCGACTGGACGATGTTCAGACCACATTGTAGTCATGCTAATGCAACCGAATTGTGTATGTAGCGGGTGCCGCTACAAACCCTTCTCTTGTTGATCGTGAACCTCCATCACCCAGCTTGAAGGCGGTGAGTGAGTTCCCCCTCTCTCCTCGTCGGCCTTCGCCTAGTTAATGTGCTTGCGATTTCACACATGGACCAGTGTTGCTGTGTGACTACCGGAAAATCAAACTCCCGAATCGCGTAGTCTCTCATGACATAAACAAACATTACTTAGCTTCAGAGGGTCATTGTGAATCACTCGTTTGGTAAATGGATTGCGATGCGCAATTTTTATGTGGACCACGATTCCCATCGAAGTAAACCTTGTCCAGTTCGATCACTGTGACGGTATCTGATAAAGCAGATACGTGGTGACCCTTGTCAACCATCCCTCTCTAGGCCTTCGTGTATTTTGTGTGGGTGTGTGAACAAACCTATGCAGTTGTATGACTATTGGAACGGTGTAGGCTATCATGACTCCACCAAAGCAAGCACAGCTTTATTAACCATGTGCTGCGCGAAACGACTAAAATGAGCGATGAGCGACGATAAAATGCGACGCAACGGTGGCGACGGTACAAGCGAACGTCACCGGCACAGAAAGAAATTCTCATCAAGCCTGTGTTCGTCTACATCAAGACCACGAAGCTGCTGATGTCGCCGATGTCAAAGAGAGGAGGGTAAGAAACATCGTTAACGCCTACAAGCAAGAAGGCACCAACACTCAGCTCCGATGCGGCAGAAACAACAGAGATAAGCTGACTCCCGATGTCCTGCAGCGCATGGAAGAGACCGCTGAACGGCATCCCGAGGACACTTTGGTGTAGCTACAGCACCGACTGAGAGAGAACGGGATCTGTCTGTCCTCAAAAGGCTAAAGATAACGCGCAAGAAGTGCCACTACGAACAACACTGGGTCAACGGTGCCACGACAAACGCAAGCCGGCATGCCTACCTTTCTGACTTCTCGGTATACGCACCGCAATACAAGGTGAAATGCATCTTCGATATCTATCTGTGGCGGAGTCAGATTCGCCCAAGAATAAGTATCCGCGAAAGTCCTCTAGCTCAGAGTAAGAGGTCGCATGGTGACGCATCGTCTGCTCAATGATCAGCACCAATGGCACCTGCAATGGTGCGGTGATTTGCAGTATAACCCGCTGTGCACACAGTTCGATTGCATTAGCATGACTATAGTGTGGTCTGAACACGGTCCAGTCGCTTTACTCCTCATTTGTTAGTAACAAATTGCTGATTTTCTGCTTGGAATGCGATGTGTCCAGTTTGGTTCACTCAATGTCTTATTTGTTTTGAAAAGCATCTAACCTAGCTTGCAAGGCGTCTACTGTGGTTTGCAAAACGCCACTTTAAATTGGAAATTGGATATATATTTTATAAATATGTTAACGGCAGCTTATTCCTCAACTGTACGCCGGCCATTTAAACAGGAACGATAGGTAAATGGTTCAAAAGATAACTGCTTCAACATAATGCGATATACAACGTTTTCACTTGCTTAACACATTGCAATATTGTTCCCTCATTGGCGTTAGCTAACCTACTGATGGCCTGTGAGGCGCTGCTATTTTATCTGTTGATGACCTTTGACATTATCCATATTTGCTACTGTAACTAATAACTTGATAGCTTGAAATCTCTGGTTGTGTCCGTAACTTCGTGTTTACGTGTACTAGATTGTAGAGAATTGCCCGTGCACGTGGGCCACGGCCTTTCTTTTCCTAAACCTGTGTTAAACATGTCCCGCAGGGTCGATTGACGTTCGGAGTCATTTACGTTATTAATCTGCATACAACCTCCATTAATTCCTGATAATCCAAGGCTATGGAATGTGGTGGGTGCTACGCAGGTTACTGATACCATTCAGCATGCTTAGAACAGGCTCTGTGGCTGGCTTGCCTCATGGTCAACACTGGTAAGCCCGTCAACTTTTCTGCGCCATGCATTGGACGAACTGGTGTCAACGGAGCATACGTTAGGCAGGAATCTGCCAAAAGTATGCACTGATTATACAAGAGTTTATTCAGCGGTAGACTGACGAAAGGCTGTTTGTAGAATGTGTCGCCTAATTTGCTAATATTTAGGTACTGTGGTTTCTGTTGTCTACTAAGAAAAATACTAGTTCACATTCTCGGGTTCAGGAGACGCGCTTTTCGGCATGAACGATTCCCTCTGTGCTCCTTCTTTTCGAGTCGGCTAAAATGACACAGTCTAATTTCACTTAGATTCACTGAATGTGCTATCCTTAGTTAACATATTTACACCCGAAACTTTTTTTGATGAACGCAGTTTCAGTATCCTGTCTACACGCTCCGCGATGCGTTACAGCCTACTATGCGCATGTTTCGCTCTCGGAGTTACTTGTGGCGCTATAATTTATCTAACTGAGCACGCGATGTTGTAGTCAACTCATTTTGGATCAGCAGATTTCGGCTCACATGCATTGATGAGCATCGGGACAAGTGCTTAGATTTGGTAGCGTGTGAATCAGCAAGGGTTCTCAGCTCACTTGGGTCGTCAGAGTCTCAAACAATCGCCTTTGCATGGATTATGACACGCCTTCCAATGGTATCATCGAACCTTTGTAAACATAGATCGATAGATCTATGTTAGCACACCTTGGATACTATCCCTTCCCGGCGGGAGCTGAGTAGGCAATCGGACGATATACGGCTTAGTGACATTTTCATTTATTCACCCTACAGTCTGTTTGGTTCCCAATGACCACAACTTAACCTATTGCTCTTTCCATCTACACAACGACGCTGCGACATTTCAGTTCAAGCTTGTAACTCAAAGCAGAGGTATCTTCAGTATACCTTGATCGCGCCCATTTACAAGGTACAGCATATCAAGTTACAATTGTGTAACAAACGCCGCATATATTGTATGGTATATAGTCACGTAGTTTTCACTTGAAGTTCAAATTAGCTAATCGGTGGCTTACCCATCTATATAATATGTTTCACAGGTATTATTAGTTTGTCTCGCAGTTAGGCCACTACACATGGAATTGCTTTTCCGTGAGCATATGCTAGTCCCATAATCTCGTTATACGTGCACCGCTGCTGGTGCTGATGACGCCTAGGTTACAGTTAAATTATACATGAATGACTAAAGTGTCTATGTCGTTTGTCCCTATATAGTACGTCAGTTTTGGCTACACACGATGCGAATGTGAGCAAGGTACCTCCTAGTCCTAAACAGCTACCCAGATGATTCGTGAAGAGCAAACCATAGGGCACACCCCACCTGAGATCGCTGGGTTCCAACATTACCTCCGTCGTGGAACTGTCCAATGCTCATTCACTGGGTACTTCTAATGCCCACGCTTCCGCAATTTCTGCACCATTGATATGGATGACTAAAGGTTAGGTGTCGGCTCCAAATTGCTTATTGCTACAAGTTCTACGCATTCGGACCACACTCGATATGAGGTGAATGGGTGGAGCTGAAGGTACTGAAGCACAGGCCACCCAACATTCCTTTGAACGAACGGACGTGCCGTGGCGATTCGCTTGCCAACCTGAGTTTCAATGTTACAAACACCTACACTCAACGCCGAAACTACAACAACAACAACAACAAAAACAAAAACAACAGCAACTACAACAACAACCGCTATTGCCACTACCACTATTACTGCTACATCTGGCAGGAAAGAGCCCCAGGGTTATCGCAAAAGATCACTTGCATAGTCCTGCTTACGCTGCCCGGTGTGTCCACTCATTTTCTATGATATCAGTAGGTAAGCCAACATGCTGGCCAGTGGATGTGATTCCGGGTATAACGGTTGGAAATTACAAGACCACTTCATGAATAATTCCATATGGTAACATGAAACCCATTTTCTGTAGAGCAATATATTTTACTTTGTATTATCGATTACGATGAAAATACTATGAGTCAATTGACAAATTGGCAGCGTCTCATCACATTCTCTTAACCTTTCAGTGCCAACGCAATAACTTCAGTGGTGAAACGTGTGGCCCAAAGCCCACCTACGAGAACAAGAGAGAGTTCACTGAGGAACAGTTGCGTGCCTCTGAGGGCATTATAGGCCTACAAGCTGGAACCAACAAATTAGCCAGTCAAGCCGGAATGAGCCACGGCGGGCCGCGCCACATCACCGATATCAAGGTGGATCAAGCAAGCAAGGAGGGCTTGTCGGTTATCGGACTTCAAATGGGTTCAAACAAGGGAGCCACTCAGGCGGGTATGAGTCATGGAGGCCCTCGTCACATTACTGACATCAAGGTGGACCAGGCAAGTAAGGAGGGTCAAGCAGTAATAGGACTTCAGATGGGATCAAACAAAGGTGCCACTCAGGCAGGTATGAGTCATGGAGGTCCCCGTCACATCACTGACATCAAAGTTGACGCCGCCAGTAAGGAGGGTCAAGGTGTCATTGGTTTGCAGATGGGTTCAAACAAAGGAGCAAGTCAAAGTGGCATGAGTTATGGGGCGCAGAGACACATTGCAGACATTAAAGTGGGTGAAATGTCCAAGGACAGTGCAGGTATCATTGGATTGCAGATGGGTCCGGCCAAAGATAAAGTTGCTTCGCAGTCGGGGATGAGCTTTGGGGCACAACGTCATATAGTCGATAGTCACTGAATTGCTCTATATGACTGTGTTTTGGAAATTTGAAAAAACCCAACATGTCCTTTTTTCTGTTATTTATCCCACCAACTCTCTCCATCTTTTGTGCAAGCAAAGCCACCGGATGAGCTGATTGGTCTACATGGAGTGACCTGTGATTACTCACTTTCCAACTGTTTCTCATCAGTAGTTTAACAGCTCACATTTATTCACCTTCGCATTTCTGCTATCTTTTGTTTTCGAAAAGTACTGTATGATTAAAGGTTCATTCTGCATTCGCTGCACCAGGTCTTCAAGATCCCCATTGTCAGTTGTGTCTGACGTTTATTTGGTTGGCACGCAATAGTTGTACAGCGAATGGTGAATACATTTTCATTTTTTCCATTGGCAAAGTGCGTTTATGTTTGAATTTCATGGCAGTCATATTAGCAGGAATGTAAAGCGATCTCCCATTCACCAGACGATCACAGTGCACTGTAACGCACAGAAAATATCATCTTTGAATTAGTGGGATCATTTGGAATGCGCACGTTGTGTGAGTAGATTGCGACACGTAACCCCTATGTGGACCGCGATTCACATAGAAGTGAACCCTGGTCAAGTCGATCACTCTGACCGTAACTGCTGAATCAGATGTATGTTGGGTGGTGCCCGGTCGTAAGTATGTCCTATATGATTGCATTCATACACAATGCATAGTTCAAAATGGCACCCAAAACAGTCACTGGCCGCTGTGAAAAGCGTCGCTCATCCCGACTCATCGGGCTTAAGGGCAAGGGATTCGGCTAATATTTCGAAGCCCCCCGGGGTCGACTGCAATGCTGCTATTCGAACTTGTTGAGTACAACAATTAAGCGAACGGTTATGCAGCGCAACAATGTCAGCTGCTAACATATCATATTCATCGCTCCTAAATCTCTCATCTCAGCAATTATTATAGCTGTGGCGGATTTTCATCCCTTTCCGCTAACTGCTGTGCTACCTGAACAGAAATGACTGTCCTATCCAAAGTATTTGCCTCTGGAGTTACGGGTGTAATCATATCGTAAAAGAGGACCACGCTCCGTTTCGAGGTTTATCACAACACATTCTGGTAGAAAGCTGGGATCAAGGAAGCTGTCAGCTTTGGGCCTAATATCTTGAGGAGCGTAGGCCATTTTACTTAGTGTAAATCAGTCAACCCTTTCTTCAGCCCCTGGCCTCAAGGATTGCGCGTGTGCATTGTAATCCGGAGGTCACAGGTTCGAATCCGTGTAGGTGGGGCGATCTCAACGTACATTCAGCCCACGTGCGGCTATTGGTGAGTGTGTAGCATCGAAGCATCGTTACGGTGTGTCGGCGTACTTTTGGTGTCTAAGCGGCCACTCTTACTGCATCGAATTCAAAGGTGAGCAAATCCATTAGGGTCGCACCGATCCAATTGTTTAGTCGGCCGAGAAAACAAGAGTTCAGTAGTGAACGCAACTATCCGGTGGGATACCGAGGACGAGTTAACCCGCCCATCTCATGTTACTCATAACGTCGCACATCTGTTCGTGAAATAAAACGTGGCTAACGGAACTGCTGGAACTAACTTGAGCCCATAATCCAACTATAAGATTTAACTTCAGATTCGTCAGACTCACAAGCATGCTACAATCTCATTTCGCTGCGAGAGTTCGATAAGGCTGGAAAGTTAATATTTTTGTGCATATTAATTCACTGAACTATTTGGAAGCCGGTCTATTGTGTCCTTAAAGGGACACGGGGAGTCGTTAAAAAAGCCTGCCATCCCTACAACTTGATTGCTCTTAAACTGCCATCATAATACTCCTGGTATATCGGACTTACGACTGATCACAATGGCTGAATATTTTCATTGGCACTGGTGTAATGCGAATAATAACTCCCAACTTGGTGTGTAGCATGCATGTTCAAATTCATTGATCTACAATTGGTCCGTCGTGACATATTGACAGTTAATGTAATCGAGGATGAATGAATATACCGTCAGACGCGGTCAGGCAAGTCTAACTCGTCATTTTGAGGATTGGAGCGGCACATCAAATGGACCATTATAAGGTAGTAAGCCCAGATGCCACGACCACTCTGCTCCTGCGTAGCAGTAAAGATTTTAGGTCGTTTCGCTTCCAGATTTGCACCAAAAGGCTGGTTTCGTTTCACCCTGCGATATTGGGGTTGCAGTAGCATTCGCTGCTGCGAGTGAATGCTTCAACTGCCAGGTTGCGACCATGATTAAGAGTTCACTTTGACGTAGAATAATTCTTACTTTGTATTACCAGGTGCATGTTTGGGTTGCTAAATTCTACCTCATTCACAGCGGCGGTCTGCTTCTATCTAAATCAAGGTCGCTCATTCAGCGTGACACTAATCAGCGCAGTGATCGATGTGTGTTATTCCCCCTGCTTTGGACCTGATTCATAATTGTGTCCTTATTCAATTTCTCCAGGTATCGAGGTTCAGGTTGAACCAAAAACCAGCGCAATTGTGTCCTGGACCTGAACACAGTAGTTAGGCCATTGTGTTCCACCGGCTGACTGCATTTAGCGGCAGAGATCCATTTTACGCTACTTTGCTGAAATTATCTTGACTAACAGAGGTTATAAACTGAAATCTTTTAACAGGCCAACAGCGAAAAGACACCCAATTCGTACAGGATAACAAGGAATAACATAACTGTGACTTGGTCCAATGTGGAGCACAGACTAGCCGTCGTAATCCGCGGGGAAAGTGTTAACCTACTTCGTGGCATTAAAAAGTAAATTAATGGTGATTTATTCAAACAAACATTTCGGCATTGCAAATGCTAATAATCCGTTGCTATTTTGACCGGACCGACCAGGTACGGTAAACAGCCGGAACACCCTCAGAATTAAAGCGGTGATGCTTGTCTGGGATTGGGTTCTAACCTTTAACAACCAGTAACCATTCGAACAACCGGCACTAAGGCACTTAAGACGGAGCCAGCCTATAATTTCGGACTTGGTCATGTGGTGCAACCCATCAATCAGTGCACCCAACAAGACAACGTCCAGCGACAAGTTTTCCTCCAACGGGACAAAGAACATTTACCAATGGATGAGGATCTTCTACCTGAATTTTTATCAAAATACAGCTGTTGTGTCGGAGCCCAACAACTACTTTCACCCACTAACGGTAGTGAGAACACGAACGGTAATCCGGGTACAAAACTATGTTATACGCCGCACGCCAAACCGGCCACCAAACGTCTGTGAATTCAAATCAAGTGGTATAATTCAAATCAGGGCATATACAAAAGCTATGCAGAAAGGCTGATATTCGATTAATCAAAGCTAGTCATTACAGTGGCGAAGGATCGATACGGTGCCTCACGTACGAGCGAAATGCACAGAGTAAGAGAACAACCAATAAGCATAAGATTCACTGTCAATACACGCTAACCCCAAATGTGAGGCAAAAGAAAACCTATACGAGAAACCATTAAAGAGGACGGGATGAATCGTGGTGAGTGAAGCAAACTCACCAAGTAACGGGGAGTGGTGGTGGAATTGTCCTAACATCTCTCTAACACTGACTGAAAAGAACAACGATCGATAAGCGAGCCGATCGAGGCACCATGTAGCTGCGCTGCTTTGCGAGCATGTGTTCGCATTTGAGGTTGTAACATTTATCACCAGCAATTATCTACTTCACTGGACACTCCATAAGGGATTGTCACTGTTGGCTAGTTAGTAATGATTAGGTTGTTAGGTCGTCCGCACAGAGGGGGGTCAGTCGTCCCATTCGAGAGGGTTTTTGGTCATTCGCGTTGAGGGAAGGTAATTATAAAGTTAAATGACCTGAGATGTCCATATATTTAGTTAAATAAGTGTATCCATCTTTAACACCGCCATTCTTTGCTTAAGAAGTTTTACTTTTTAATGAACTCCTAATTTCAGTCCTCACGAGGGACCGTCTGAGCTCCCTGAGTGACCAATTATTGTGCTCCTGACCCTTCAAATTGGACACTTTTGGACTGCTTTTGGTCACTCAGACTAATTGTGTTTCGGCCCATGGGCTACAGTAGTACATAATTACAATTTGGGAATGGATTTCCGCTTAATGTTAACGGTATTTGCAGCCAGAAGAATACATTCGCGGCATATGGTGATGGTGTGTTGGAAAAAGTCTGCGTGAGCAAAAGTTTTCCAAAGTGTCCAATTGGGACGGCCGGGGACACAAAAAGTGATCACTCAAGGAGTCCAACCGTCACTCTAGTGTACACTTTTTGGTCACTTATGTGGACGGGGTAGTTACACGATTTGATACATATGCTTTTGTTATTAATTTTATGACGCAATCCCTGTAAAATTCCATTTACCCCTTGGGGTTAATTATCCTTCGGGTCTAGTCACACCCCGTGGCTATCTTGCCCAATCAGTGGCCCAGGTGTATGCGAATCCTCCAACCCATTTAAATGCACAGCTAACCTATTCCGTGCATACATCGCTATGGTAACATGGGCGCCTGCGTTTCAGCGCCGTTCTCAAGTCCTTGTCTTTTGTAGAACAATATTTTTGATGAAAAGGGATCATTTGCCTTGAAGTTTGTGTGACACTGTCCTCTGCCATATCCAGTATTTAACTTCCACTTTCTTTGCTCACACAATTTACCTTATTGGAAGCCTGCGTCATCCACGAAACCCGCTTTCTTTTTAATTCCTTTGCAACTATTTCTCATGTCTCATCCTTCTCGTGACTCCGTACTGCAAACGTTCCTTCCCTCAACCGACCGCGTTTACGAAAAGTGGTCATCGATGATGTCCGCAACCGAGTGTCACCACAATAAATAGGCACGATCGAGTTCGCCGCGTTACTAACCATGATGTCTGCCTTTTCTAAGTATTTTCAATTTCGAGTAACCGTTCACTGCGGCAGGTCTACTTTCCCCCACTGGCCTTAGATGCATAGGTGGATCATTGTTACCTGTCTTCGGACACGCCATTGAAACCTTAACATCATCCTGTCGGCATTCATTACAAATCATGCTTGCTT